CCCCCCCTGCCCCCCCCCCCGCGGCCGCCTGTACCTCCCGCATCTGCCTGTACTCCCTATATTTGTCTGTACCCCCATCTGTGCCCCCCTTTTCTTCCCCCAAATCAACCCTGAGGCCAGTTATTTGGGTGGCCGACTGTCCTTCACGTGGCCGACTGTAGCCCTGTGGGGACGGCTCTACCCCCAACATCTACCTGTACCCCTTCTCGGGGACAGCTGTGTCCCCTGGGACAGCGTGGCCTCACCACGACCCTTTGTCCGTGTGTCCGGCTGTAGCTCACGTGGCCGACTGTAACCTCTGGGGCCAGTTGTACCCCCAACAACCACCTGTACCTCCCCTGGGGGCAGTTGTGACCACTAGAACAGCGGTGGCCTTGCCACAACCATCCCTGGTGTCATGTGTCCGGCTGTACTCGGGGGCCAACTGTAACCTCTGTGGCCGGTTGTACCCCCAACAGCCACCTGTACTCACCCTGGGGATGGTTGTGTCCCCTGGGACAGCGGTGGCCTCCCCGCAGCCATTTGTCTGTGTGTCTGGCTGTACCCTCGTGGACCGACTGTAACTCCTGTGGCCAGTTGTAACCCCAACAGCCACCTGTACCCCCCCCGGGGACAGTTGTGACCACGAGGACAGCGGTGACATCCTCACAACCATCCCTGGTGTCATTTGGTCACATACCCGGCTGTACTCAGGGCCGACTGTAACTTCCATGGCCGGTTGTACCCCAAACAGCCACGTGTGCCCCCGCCCAGGGACGGCTGTGTCCCCTGTGACAGCAGTGGCCTCCCCACAACCATCCCTGGGGCTGTTTGTGTCTATGTCCCACTGTCCCTGCGTCTGGTTGTGCATCCGACTGTAACTCCCTGTGGCTGCCTGTACCTACCCAGGACCCCCTGAACCCCCCCATTTTTGGATCTGATGGTCTCTGTGTGCCCTTGTGCATCTGTTTGTCTGTCCTTGGGTCTGGTTGTGCGTCCGACTGTACGCCTCCATGGGTGCTTGTGTCTCCGTGGCTGCCTGTACCCACCCAGGACCATCTGTACCCAGCTGGGACCCCTTGTACCCCCCAGTTCCTGGGTCAGATGGTCTCTGTGTACTGTTACATGTCCATCTGCCTGTCCGTGGGTTTGGTTGTGCATCCGCCTGTACCTCTCGGTGGCTGCTGGTGTCTCTGTGGCTACCTGTTGCCACTCGGGCCGCCTGTTGCCACTCAGGACTGCCTGTATCAGCCAATTTCTGGGTCTGACAGCCTCCATGTGCCTTTATCTGTCCATCTGGTTGCGTGTCCGACTGTACTTTTATGCGGCTCTTTGTGTCTCCGTGGCCGCCTGTACCCCCCCCAGGACCCCCTGTACCCCCTGTTTTCTGGGTCTGAGGGTCTCCGTGTGTCTGTCTGTCCATCTATCTGTGCGGTTGTGCGTCCGCCTGTACCTCTCCATCGCTCCTTGTCTCTCCGTGGCCGCCTGTACCCCTCGAATCCTCCTCATAACCCTCCCTGAGGGGGGAGGGGGGTGTTACCCACCCCTCGTGGCCTCCCGTCCGTCTGTCCCCTTGTCTGGCCGCCTGTCCCCCACCCCGGCGGACTGACAGACGGATGGACGGGGTCTCTCCGTAGGTGGTGGTGTTGACCAACTCGTCGTTGGAGGAGCAACTCTGGGTCGGAGACTTCTGCCACGTCCATGGGATCAAGTTGGTGGTGGCCGACACCCGCGGGCTTTTCGGGTGAGCCGGGTGCCTGGGCGCCTTCTATAGGGTGCCTGGGTCCCTTCTATAGGGTCTCCCAGACACCTGGGTGCTTTCTGTAGGGTCTCCCGGACACCTAGGTGCTTTCTATAGGGTCTCCTGGATGCCTTCTATAGGATGCGCTGGGCACTTGGGTCCTTTCTATAGGGTGCCTGGATGCCTGGGTCCCTTTTATAGGGTCACCTGGATTCCTGGGTCCCTTTTATAGGATGCCTGGGTGCCTTCTATAGGGTCTTTTAGGTGCCTGGGTGCCTTCTATAGAGTCTCCTGGATGTCTGGATCCCTTGCATAGGATGTGCTGGGCACTTGGGTCCTTTCTATAGGGTGCCTGGACGCCTGGGTCCCTCCTGTAGGGTCACCCGGACTCCTGGGTCCCTTCTATAGGGTCTCCTGGATGCCTGGGTCCCTTCTGTAGGGGCTCCCAGGTCCCCGGCTGTTTCCATGGTGACCAAGGACCCGGCTGCTCGGGTGGGGGAAGGGGTGTCACCCGGCCGCCTGTGTCCCCTCACCCACCCATGGGTGTCCCCCCCACCCACCCAGGGGTGCCCGGGGGAGGTGACGTGCCTGGACGAGGCTCGGCACGGCTTCGAGACCGGCGATTTCGTCACCTTCACCGAGGTGGAGGGGATGGAGGAGCTGAACAGCTGCGGCCCCGTCGAGATCCGCGTCCTCGGTGAGCCCGGAGCCCCGCCTCCCTTCTATAGGGGCTTCCGGATGCCTGGCTCCCTTCTATAGGGTGTCCTGGATGCCTGGATCCCTTCTATAGGGTGTCCTGGACACCCAGGTCCCTTCTATAGGGTGCCCCGGGTGCCTGGGTCCCTTCCATAGGGTGCCTGGGTGCCCGGGACCCTCGGTGACAGCCCCTCCCCCAGGGCCCTACACCTTCAGCATCGGGGACACCAGCGGCTTCGGGGACTACGTGAGGGGGGGGATCGTCACCCAGGTCAAGATGCCCAAGCACATCCGCTTCGTGAGTGGCACTGGGAGCACTGGGAGGGGACTGGGAGGGACTGGGGGCAGATTAGGAGGTGCTGGGAGGGGACTGGGGGGCACTGGGAGGGACTGGGGGTGGGT